GAAGTTCCACAATTCAAAACTCACAGAGAAATCAAATTAGATAAATGCTGTACACATTCACTGATAAGAAGAATTTTACCAGGTCACCTTAACTATGTTCAACAGTAGGATGATAGGATGAGGACTGGAGCTGGCAGAGGAGAAGATGAAGAACAAAGAAGAGAAGGCAGAATGTAAATAATGCATCCCAGAATTTTTTCAAGGTGCTATCAGGGTGTGGGATCCAATAGGACATGCATTCTCCAAGGTGTCAGGATTGTGTGACCTCCAATATATACAAACCTATGCTTCTAAAATGCCAAAGAAAGAGACAGGTTTGTCCAAGTGCCTTAAACCCTGCTTGTAAATTAGCTGCATGAATCCATTTACATCACCACAGCCATTCCTATATGTACAAGGCATTTCCCTAAGAAGTGAAAATACAGCCAACCAGAAAGGCATTTGGACCGTATCACATCTGGCAATAAATTTGAAGGACTTTGACAGTGAGTTGATTGGTAGTTCTGGTTTCTTGCAAGCCCACCCCTTATTGTCTTTCAGGTCCCAATGGAAGCAAAGTCTGTTTAAGACAGTATATCCCTTGGGCTTGTGAGGTCTTGGGGAGCAACCTGAGTTTCGGAAAAATGAGCTCGATTGAAGTCAATCCTGGAAGTGGCTAAGAAGACGAGGTGTGTCTTACACAGGTGCTAAGAAATAATTAAATGCAAAAAGGTGAAACCAGAAATACCACTGCAGTGTTTTTATTTATTCAATGTATTTATTTAATCTTTAGTAGCTTTTATGCTAAACACTGCCTCCAGGTGCTAGGCTGGGCTGGATCTACAATAGATACAGCAGTAAACAAAACAGACAGATGTCTGTGCCTTCAAAGAGCTATCTGTCTCTTCAAGGAGAGTGGGAACTGCAATAAACAAAACAAACAAGTAGCATATATGGTATAGTAGGTGGTGAAAAACCTCTGGAAAAAAAAGTAAAGTAGGGAAGGGGTACTGGAGGTTTTTTGCGAGGGGAAGATGATATATTAAAAGGATAATCAGTGTGCCTCCCTGAAAAAGTAACATTTGTGAAAAGACCTAAAGGAGCAAGCCATGGAGATATCTGGAGAAAGAGTATTTCAGGTGAAACAACCCAGCAAAATATATGAGGTGGGTAAGTGCCTGGCATCTTCTCAGTACAGAAAGGAGACCAATGTAGCTGAAGAGAGACAAACAGGAGGAAAGTAGTGAGAAATGCTAGCAGAGAGGTAACGGTGTGTGTGGGAGGGTGGGGTTGGGGAGGGTTGGGAGGGAAGGTAATAGAAGGTGGGCCATTCTAAGGACTGTGCTGAGTGATTTTGAACAGGAAAAACTGATTCTGGGATTCTAAAGGACTCTTCACTGAGAAAAGACATCTTAATATCTTATACAATAACATCATTCTCCTATCAGTCTACTCTTCATTTTGAGGTTCTGCAAATGACCTCCATAGTCCTCTGGTCTCATCTTAGGGAACCCTTCGTTCTTGAAGACTAGAGAAATTGTGCATTTCTTTGAGAATGAAGTGGCATCTTCAGAAGATACACTGAAGGCAGTCTTTGTGCCATCCAGAAAGGCTATTAATAAGAACAATGTGGGCATTTGAAAGAACCTTTTCCAGAGCTTGAGGCAAGAGTAATGCACTGAAATCAGTTTCTGTGTTTTCCTGGCAAAACATTCACTAGGAAAAATAAAGCTTTCACATGAGATTTTCTGAGCTATCCCAAGACATTCACATCTTTGCAACTAAAATACTACCCAATAAATATCATCTCCGGAAAGAGAGTATAGCTCTTTGAGCAAAGAAAGAGAAGAAACACAGAAGAAAAGAAACTTATTTATGGATCTTCCACATATTATTTTTACCATCCATATTATTGTAGTATACCTTCTTGTATATTCCTGAAGGGTTTTCTCAACTGGAGTTTATGTATTACCTTGGCACACAGAAAGAATAAAGAATGAGGGCAGTTAAGTAAGAGGGATTTGGCACCACTAACTCAATGGTAGCCTCACCTATTAGAACTAGTGTATGATTTTATATAACATGCAGTCACAGGTCTGAAAACCTGGGATTTCATTCCACCTGTTAATTGGCATTTTGCTATTTCAAGTAAATTCCACCTACCATTTACTGGATCTTAGTTTTCTCTCCTGTATAGTTAACAGCTGGAGGAACAATAACTATAACTTTTCTTCTTAAGGGGATCTATAAAAATCAGCTGCCGTGGAGAGTTGAGGCCAGCCTCTCTAACAAGCCCATGCTCAGTAATTCCGTGGGTTATCCCACTCAGAGGTGTTAATTACACAGCACAGTAATGGCTCTTCCCCTTTTTGTTCCCAAAGACATCACAAACAGACAACATACTTTTTCCTGTTGAATCAATCAGACCTCAGAGTTGGTCAGAACATTTTTATTTTCCTGTAGCATCTCAGGCGATCATGACCAAATAATTGGAGATAGCACTCAAGTTCAAAACAATTTGCTACCTTCCTCTTAGGGGAATGACTACATGGAAGACAACGGCTCCTAGTATAAATATGAAGAGCACTCACAGGCTGTCAGCCCGCTTCTCCCATCCCTAAAGGGCTCTAACATGTCATTAGTTCCACCAGCATAAAGTATTTGTTGGTACCCCGGGCATAACCAAAATGGATCAATTAGCTTTTCAGGCAGAGGCCTGAATATACATAATTCATTTCCCTTCTTTATAAAGCCTGCTTCTCTCCTGAGAGGAGAGCCTTCTGTAAAAGAAACAACCTCAGCCTTTCAACAAGTATACAAACCAGCAACTTCCTGATCTTTGTCCTTCCACACACGCTCTCTCTCATTCCCCAAATCTACAAGAGGTTAGATGGAGAAATCTGTGTTTGTCTCAGTTCGAATGAAAAGTCCTAACAATGTTACTAGATGACTGTGATGAATTTTAATCTGATGACAGCTTGTGACCCACAATTGCTGTTTAAAATTAAAATGCATTCAAAAGGAAACTGGCAAGACAACTACAATATTAAAATTGCAGTCTGCTGTGAAGAAAACCTATCAAAAGTACTATATTAAATATGAATACGATTAATTTCTGTAGAGCATCTTGCAACTGAAATATGAAAAATACAGCCCTTCAAAGCATTGCCTTATAAAATTCAAGTTGGCTACATAATCTTTTCTTTTTAAATTAAGAAGTCAAAGTGGAGAGTGACTGGTTTGTCTTTGGTAATGCACCTTTCAGCAGAGCTCCAGGTATAATCTAGGGTTACAGACTTCTAGGTTTCTCCTTTGATGAACAAAAGTCCTCTATTTTCATTGTCCCAAATGTTCATCTACAAAATTTTAGAAATGTTTTCCACCTGCTTAGTTTTGTTTATTTATAACTTTGAAGCTATAATTACTCAAGATACATTAAATGTGACTTTACAGTTATTCATATTTGTTTAAAAATAACTGCACTGATATTTTTGATAGATCAGCTAAATCATTCCTAAACTTGATGAGAATTGAGGGTTTTTTTGGGGGAGAGGGGTAATGAATGTCTGTATCAGTGTTATCATTAAACAATAATATAAATAAAACTCAATCCATTGTATATATGTTCCTCCCATATTTCAATATTAAAGACTCATATGTGGTAATAAAAGGATTCATCACAAGCTATTTGCAAATAATTTAATGACCAAGTCGTAGATATTTTCTAGTTTTCAAAGTGTGCCGAAGAACTATTATAAATTCCACAGTATAACATCATAATTATAACAATTAACATGTGTACTTAATTAATTAGAACTTTAATGTTCACATACATTACTTGTTGGATTCACAATACATTAAAATAGCATTAGCTAGAAATAAGAAAGTACCATATTTTACTCTTATTGTTGCACACATAGAAAAAGACTCCCTTCTTTTAAAAGATACCATAAGAACTAATTTCACAACCATTATTTTTATTCATTACCCCTGGAACATAGTACATGCTCAGTAAATGTTAGTTGAAGGAATGAATGAGTATGTGTGATTGCATGACAGGGAAAAATCTCTAGTCTTTGGTTGCTACAGGACTACTGCATGGACAACTGCTGTCGCAGTAGAGCTCCTAAAATCTCTGCCATATTCTATTTTGGTTAGTGTGTGCAAAAATGATAAAGGATTCAGTCCAGCACATCTTTGCATTAAGAGAGTCAGCTTTTTGAAGCAGGGTCTGTAATAACACCACATGTAAAATTACCCAGGTACTTCTTATGGTTTGCTTCACGAGGAAGCCTGATACTGGTTATGATATCAAATGTATCTATACGTGGGAACAGTCTCACTGTCACTCTTGGCTAGACTTCCGCAAATCTGTCCCACTGACAGTGCCTACTCCAAAGCTGTCAGCTTTGAAACTGTGACTGGGCTTCATGTAGTGCCCTCGGAACCTAAGCATGATACTGAAAGAGAAGAGAGGGTCCTATTTTAAACCTTTCCTTCCTCTTATTGGTTTAGAAAATTCGAGTGACAAAAGCGGGGGCCAAAGGAGTCTGGAGCAGCTTCATTAACGTGAACCATGTATTTCTATCCTTGGGCAGAGATGTGGTCTTTCAGGTTACAGCCAATGCATGCCTGTTAGCTCTTGCTGAACCAAGAGACCTTACGGATGGAGCCGCTGCAGTAGAAAAGGTTACATCCAGCAGGATGTCTTGTCTGTCTCCTGAAAAATTGGCAGTCAAGAGCATAGTGTAGAAACAGGATCAGGGTATCTAGACGGAGGGATGGGGAAGGGAAAGCAAACCTGTATTCATATTGAAAAGGAAAAATGCAGAGCTGATTTTAGCTTAAGTTTTGGCCTCAGTCTTCCAACAGGTGCACTACTCCCTCACCTCTCCCCTGTCAGCCCTGTCCTGTTTGCCTCTCCAACGCTTCCTTTGCGAGGCAAGCTTTTCCTAGAGACCTTAAGCATGTGCAGTTTCCCATCTCATCCTCAGCCAGCGCTACACCCGGCAACCCCTTACCTGCAGCATGAAGATTGAGAAGCAGGCAGAGCGCAGGGAAGCCTACTGCTCTCCGCATAGTGTTTGCATTGAGAGGTGGAGGAGGAACTCCGCCACGACCCCACTTCAGGCGAAGTGCAATTAGAAAGAGCCACTGCCAAAGGTCCTCTGGTCTCCGGGATTCATTCCCAGGTCCTCGGCTGGGCTTTGCAGGGCGGTGTGTGGCTCCGACAGAAACGTGAACCAGCTTCGCCTCCCCCGGAGAGGCGGAGGGGAAGCCGAGTGGGAGGCGGCTGGCGAGGGGCGGAGCAGCGTGGGGCCGAGGTGCTCTCGGGCCGCAACCCGTGGCCTCCGGACGCCCTGCGGCCGCGGCGGAGGCGGCGTGGACTCCGCGCCAGCCCGGGAGCCCGGCCGCGCCGGGGCCAGCGCAGCGCCCGCCCAGCCCCGACGCGCCGCGGCGACTGAGCATGCCCGGCGCTGGCCCTCGCGCGGCACCCGAGTTACAAAGTGAAATTCCACTTCTCCGGGTCTTAGCGGCGGCTGCGAGGGGATCTGGCTCCGCCGCGGTGGGCTTCGTGGGGCGGAGGTGAGGGATAGAGCTCCTGCCAAACACCTGGGGGTGGGGAGGGAGGGACCAGGCGGGGGCAAGACCCGAAGAACGAGAGGAGAGAGCCTAGGAAGGGGTCGGCCTCCAGACCCACCGGCTCCCTCCCCAAATCGTGGTGGACACGTAGAGCCCACGGCTGGGAGTGGGCAGCTGCTGAGCTGCAGATGGGCCGGCTTCTCAGGGCCGCCTGCGGGGACGGAGCATAGGTCTCCTCCCCTGCTGAGCGCCCCAGCTGCCCGGAAAGCTATCCCAAGGCGGCCTGCCTGGAGGGAGAAGCGCACGGGCGTCCTGGGGGCGCCTCTTCCCGACACCTTTCCCATCTTGTGTCTCTTCTCTCTCCCGCTCAATCCCTGTGTTTAAACTTTTCTCCTGACTCATGTCCAAAGTCTGTGACTGTAGTCACAGATCGCTAAAAGAAGTGAGGCCATACTTTTAGACTAGTAGGATATAGCCATGTAATTGGAGAAAAGGCACCTTTTGTGTTATGGAGACAATTATCTTCAGTCTCCATTTTACTTTCTCAGGTGAAGGCAGTAGAATCATGTCTGTAACACACCCCTCCCGCCCTGCTCGAGGGAGCCTACAGCAGTCTAATGCAGGTGGTCACCCCTACCCCAGCTTTGGAGGGTGGGGGCCAATGTGTTAGTCTAGCGGCTAATTACTCCTCGTCCAGAAGTCCCTAAGCCACCCTTCTGTCTGAACTATCTCAGGAGCACGCACCTGCCCGCCTCTGAGTCCCCCTCATGCTCTTGACCCTCTGCAATTAATGCCGTTTGCTTCACCACCACACTCGAGTTTTCAAGGGACAAACTTTGGTCTCACTTTTCTACAAAGCCCTGACCTAACTCCAGATAACAGTGATATTTCTCATCCATGCATGAATGTATAAACAACCTTTGCTTAGCATTACCTCATTTTTCAGATCATCATTTATCTGTGGTTTGTATTGAAACACAGTTGAAGGCTTCATAAGACCTTCTGCATCTTCTATCACTTCAGTAGAATGAAGCCATATTAGGCCAACCACAAGTGCTAATACATGCTTGTTGAATTGAACTCTCCATCTCCTGCAATGCTTTTGGCCTCCAACCGTTGTGAATTCCATGTACTGGGACACCTAATGGGAATATGCTTCCCACAAAAGCTTAAATTAGGCAGGATCTCACAGAGCCTGAAAGCCCAGGCAGTACCATTTCCTTTGTAATTTATTTCTTCTCTAGCACTGAATGACAAAGACAGGACTTGCACTCAAACTGGTGGAGCAGGGGCGCAGTTCTGATCCTGAGAAAGGTCTCTAGTGCTGAAAACAGACACAGGCAGTTCCACTTCCCCCACTTCCCCACTCCAGCACCTGAGTGTGTCACACACCATTTCTGGGGCATTGCTCTTCTTCACCAAGACCACTTTAAGCTGTGACCTCTTCCCCTACCCTGGATTCATTTTGCCCCAGTCTCCTTTTTCAGAGCATATCTCCCATTCTAACATACCAAAAGAACACTTAATAAGTCTATCATTCATTGTCTATTCTTCACCACCACGCCTCTGGGGTGGCATCAAGACTACAATTTGCATCAGTTTTATTTACTGATGCATTCCAACTGATTAGAACAGAGTCTTTCACAAATAGATGCTCAAAAAAATGAATAAATTAAAAGCAATCAGTTGATAAAGTTCAATGTTGACCATTAGCCTGACTCTTTGTAATTCTTACTAAATAGCTATTCCAGATAATTTATGTCATGGTGCTTAAAACTTGGAGGGGTAACCCTTCTCACAAACATCCTAGAATCGCTGCAGGGCTAGGAATTGAGGGGAAATAACAGCAGCAGACTTACAATGGTGTGCTTCCCTTATTTTCTTCCTTTTTAAGAAAAAACAAATTACTGACTTTACCCAGGTCTTTAAGGAGAAAATGACCATATGCTACATGCACTTTACTGCATTCAGGCTCTGAAACCCTTGCTTTTGCATAGATAATTTCAACATTTTTGGAGGGGCCAGAAGAACATTTAAAGTTTGAAATAATATGATTTGCTGTGACTGCCAACACGCAACCAGCTAGCTATTTATTTTGCCCAGGGGTGCAGGTAGCCGAATTACTAAACTGTGCAGGAAAATCTCCTTAACAGCAAAATTTTCCAGTTTCCAATTTGACGAGATATTCTACTAAAATAGTTCAACATGGTAAAAATAACCTTGAGTGAACTGTAATTTTGGTGAACTGGACATTCATTATTAATTTACTTGAAAAAGATAAAGGAGTGAGAAAAATTCGTATTCCTTGGTGAGTCAATTTAATTTATGTCCAAAGGATTTGATCTCATGACATGGGAAATCAAAGGACAATAAGTGAATTAGCCAATTAGTGAAAACAACTCTTTGAGAAGTAGTCCCTGTGAGTCCACAGAGGCTGCCTTCCCGGACACTTATCTAATACTAGTGAAGGAGATTTGATGTTTTAGAGAAGAAGCTTGGGTTAAAACACTGCCACAGGGTTTTAAAAAGTTAGTTCCAATTCAGAGAGGTATGGAAATTAATATGAGAGAGCCATGGAAGCTAGTGCAGGCCTACAGAGCTTTGTCTGAAAGGAAATCCTTTATATTTTGGAAGATAAATAAAAAATCTGCATTATGTACTTTTCCTCAGCAGATGCGTAATCTCCATTTCTCAAGAGGTGAGAGTCAGGAAGAATTTATACTGGAGAGAATGCTTTTCAGAGCTTGTCCTCAAAACAAATTTAACTGTTATGTGCCTCCACATTAACTTGTTTATAAATGGACGAAGATCATTCATGGTAGCCATCTTTCCTTAGAACACTTTACGTAGAAAAATTAGATCTATTCACCATTACAGTTTCCTATTTAAGTTATTTAGATTATCATTATTATTTTAAGATGATAGCTAACATTAATTGAGCATTTCCTACATTCCAGGCTCTTCTGTAAGTGCATAGATATCCCATTTATAATATCCCTACAAAGAGGCATTACCATCATCTCATTTTGGAGATGAGGCAGTTGAGGCACACGGAGGTAGCTTGCCCACAATCAGGAGGTAAGCAATCAACCAGAAGGTAAGGTGGTAGAGTTAGGATGCACAGCCAGACAGTTTGATACCAAACCACTGTGATGTACTACTTTATATACAATAAATATATATAGAGTGCCAATTGTAGGTGGCTCACTAGATATTAGATCAGGGCCAGAGCAGGAGATCCTGATCCTCACATTTGTCAGGAAAGCTGTGTGGTGCAGCACCCATAAGAGGTTGCCTCCAAGAGGATGAGACAGTGGGCCCTGGACTCAGGGGTGTAGCTTCTAGTGAACAAGGACGGACAGCACATAAAATCATGCTTAAAGAACCATATTATAAGGATATTTAAAGCAAAGTAGAGCAGAAGAGAGGAAATTATCCATTTTATGGAGTGTGGCAGCAGAGTTGGGGATGTATAGTAGGCTAGAAACTATGAGTGGAGAACAGTAAATTTGCCGAGTCCTGCAGGCTGTGTGGGTTCTGAGTGCTCTACAGGGAGAGAGAGGCCACGAGATTGTGTGACTGGTAAAAGAGCCATGAAATGATGAAATGGATTCAAGGAACTTCTGAACATGTACAGAAACAATGGGTGACAATGACCAACACATTATTGAGGTTTGTAATGTGCTTACCCTGCCCCATCCTTGACAGAGCCACTTCATCAGTCCCAAAGTTTCCTGTTTCCTTTTGTTTAAGAGATAACCTATGCATAAGAGGGAAAAAGAAGAAGAATTTATTATTACATGGCAAATAATTGATGGGAATTAAGCTATTCAGAGTGAAATGGCTCAGAATGAAAAGGAATGGATTAGAAACTCATGGGCAAAGATGGTACATTCAGGTATGTGGATTCAACATTAATTTAAAAAAATATTTTCGTAACCGTAACAAGGCAGAGCAACCTACCCTGCTATGTGAGCACAGTGAGGAAAACAGTGAAATAACAAAGGACACTGGGAAAGAGGAAGGAAAACAGTAAAATTTACAATGATATATTATCCCATTGAACTCTCCTAAGAGCTCTATGGGGTATTTCTCTCCCTTTGTGATGAAGGAAGAAACTTAAATTCATTGAGACTAGTACTTCACCCACAGTCATCTAGCCGGTAAGTGATGAAGCTGGAATTAGAATTCAGGTCTGGTGACCTGAGCAATATGCTGTGAACAACTATTTTGTATACTGCCTCCTTGATTAGTGAAAAGATTTGCTTCACAGCTCAAATGGAAAGTGTAGTGTATTGTTTGTAACCCCAAGGTACAGACTTCAAAATGGCTGATGGTAATTAAATTTTACGACTTAACACAGCTGTAGCTTTTAAGACTATCATTTGAAGTGTTTGATACACAAACACACACACACAAAGACAGCAATATGTATCTGAAAAAAAAATGGTACCCAAAATAAAGATAAATTTTTCTATGCATATGTGAAATATGCTGTCCTAGTAAAATATAAAATATTTAAGACAAAAAGGCTGTGATACCTATAGATTCTGCTAGTGGTTCATCATTTAAGTTTTATTCAAAATGAGGTACAAACTTTCCTTGGAGCTAGCCCTTGGTTCCAATGTGTCGTACTGTCATCTTTCCCTTCTTTACCTCTGGCATTGCAAAGGTCAGATTCATCCAATATGTCAGTAATAGCTTTACAAACTGCTGACTCTCCTGCCTTAGTTCACTGTCCCTCCCAAGACACTAATTAGGCTGCACGTACACCATCCATCGTGCTGAACAGCACACAGATGGGAGAGCCTTCCATTATGGCTTAGACTAGCTACTTGGGGCCAGTCAGATACATTGTGTATAGTGCTTGGTCATTCTTTTGCATGAAGTCACTCTGGAACACCTCATTCACCCAACAGCTCAAGAGACTAAGAATATCCAGGGAATGAAACTATGGCTTGATTAGATCATTTCATCCCGCCCCTTTTCTCTCACATTATTTTTTCACATGATTATAAGATGATGTAAAAGAACATCTAAAAAATACGGAATGGCTCTGTCACGGACAGCTCACCCTTTGGAACTAAAAGCCACGGGTCAGTGCTGCTCTCTGTCTTATACCTCCTTTCCCTCATTCTAGCAGCTGCAGGTCTACATGGGGCTAATTTATCAGTCTAATTTATCAATGTTGTTGAGAAACATTTTTAGATTAATATACTCCTTTGTGCCTTTACAACATGAAAGGGAGAGTTAAAGAAGTCTTACTAAAAATATCCACTAAGTATAACATGACTACTAATATGCCCAAATAATTAAGCAAGCATTTGTTTATGGCCATAATTTT